TTATAAAAAGACACAAAAGTGTACCAGCAGTGCCATTTTAAGACATTTCCATTCAGCAAGCCTTTCCTGGTGTCTCTCATTGTTTATAGTCTACTCCCTCTGTCTCTTAAAAATACGGTTCATTATTTTCAGCCTGGGAATGACTAAACAGAATTCATGCTTCCCCTCATGTGTTCCAGCCCCTATTGGCAATGAAAAGGCGGTGGGTTCTTCGTACTGTCTCTGAAGTTGTTGGTAAATTATAGGTTACTCACTAATTTGTTCAAAGTGGTGAGGGCAAAGGAAGGCTATAAGAAAAGTCTTGTGTTGGAGAAATAACTGCAGCTACTGGTTGTGGAGAATTATAGAATGTGTCACGCCTGGAAAATTATGACTTAGAAGACAAATTTGGTGATGGATTTAGAGCTGAATTAGGTTTTATGGGGAGTTTATTTCTGGGAGTGACTTTTACTTGAGAAAATAAGTTGCTTTTTTTACACTTGGATCATGATAAGCCAAAAGCTTCTTTGTCAGTAGTAACAAATTCTTTCCTATTTTTTGCACATTTGGAAGAACTTATTTCCAAAAGTAAATTGTGGAAATATATTTGAATAATTAATTAATGTTGTTGTTGGCGGCCATTTTAAGTCACAATATTATATGCATGTTCTGGGAAACATATTTTGATATATTGTAAAGATCTAGGACTTGGATATTCTCCAGTGAGCTATAGCTTCACAAAAAGAAAAACCCAAAGAGCTACTAATTTAAATTGAGAATAGGAATGGCATGCCTTAGATGAAGTAAGTAAGTTAGATACCTATAAACATAAACCATTATCCAATGTTAGTGCATAAAGTTAGGCATCAAAATAATACATTTACAATGGTAATTATTCAAATTTTTGTTATTCAGCACAATACAATACTTATAATTCCGAATTTCCTTGGTGAACTACTTGGAAGGGGGTAGAGAGCTACTGGTAGCTCCCGAGCTACAGGCTCAAGACCCCTGCTCTAGGATCTAATGCATTTTTAAAACTGTGTACTTAAAGCCCCAAGGGATAACCATTTAGACAAAAAATATAAACTAGAAAATATAGACATGTTTTTGTATTTTGGTTGTTTACTGCAGTGTTGCTTTTAAAGTAAAGTTGTCAGTTACCAACAGTCAAATGGTCAGACCAATGTCAACATTTCGCAAAATTAAACTAACAATAAAACAGATTATACATTTCAAATAAAATCTGGAATTCTAGAGTGGAGAGAAATTCCCCCTAGTAAACTGGTTTTGGATTCCTTGTGGCAAAAAAAAAAACATCCAAAGAAGGTGGATGTGTAGTTTTTAATGGCACGGGTAGCCCCCATTTTGGCATCTCAGGACAACAAATAAACATCACCATGGCAACATTGCTCAAAATATCCTCACAGACTCCAAATAGAATTCTTGAAAGTGCCTGGGAATTTCTTACTAACGACATGATGATGGATGGAGCTGTGCCACCCGGCCCAGTAAAACAGCTTTATGAGCAAAACTTTAGCACCACTTCCTGGTTTCTCCAGCTGTAAAGCCTGAAATTAGTATCAGTTTGATTTGATTTGGAATTAAAGTTTTTTATTTGTTTTAATCTGTTGCAATTATGGATTGTTTGAACACAGGGAGAAGTTTTATAAAAAAGAATTTGAACCTTCACATTCTTTTGATAGATGTTGAAACTGACTTTTGGAGAGCACACTCCTTCATTCTTTCCTAACCGTGAATATTCTTCTGAAAGTAATTTCTTAGCTGTTTCAGTACTACGTTTGAAATACCTCCGTGGAGTAAAAAATGCTACCAATCTGACCTCACTTGCCTTGACTCGCATTCTCTTCTTCTTACAATGTCCCCATCTGCTTTAGGCTACTCTGTTATGGTGTGGTTGTAAAAAAAAAGAAATGAAATAAGATCATTATTAGCTGTTGTTTTTTCTCTAACCAGGATGTGATTCCATTGTATGAGAAAATAGGACACCATGGCTGATATCCATTCTTATAAGTACACAGCAATTTTATTTATTTATTCATTCATTCATTCCATTCATTCTAACAAGCCAAGTTGATAAAGGTCTTCTGCTTACTGTAGGAGTCTTACAGATAAGAAATAACTGAATATTTTGCTTACAGGCCAAGAACTATCTCAGGAAATTTTTGGCTTACTATGACCTTAACTATGTTATTTGGCTTACTATGATCTGCTATGTTATTAACCATACTGAATAGATCTACATTAACTAATTAACCAACTCAAGCCATAACGATTACTATTCATGTATGACAATTGCGACTTAACCAGTACAAAATCTTAGTACCATCACACCAGGTCTAAGCACCACAGCTTGAGAACCACTGTGTTACTATCAGAGTTCATTGCGTTCATGTTTATTTGGGAAACCCAGCTAATATACCGTCATATCTCTCATTGCCGAGTACAAACTTCTCCCACAGCTAAAATGAATACTGCAGACATTTTGTTACAATTGGATTCTTCCACAATCTCACAGGTGGTGTGAGATAAACCGACATTACCACAATCTAATCGGTGGACATGACAACATACCGCATCCCTACGGTTCACACAAAGAGACTCTCCACAGCAAAGGGGTGAATCAAAAGAGGAGGAGGGATGATAACTGCAACTTTTGGATCCAACGTGATGGGAGACAGTCTAAGAAGGGCCCACCCACGTAGTACGGAGCAGAGAGGAGGAGGAGGACAGGCCGTTGATGGTAGGCCAAAGGATGAACCGCACGTCCCACCAAATGTATCTGTGCAATTTGTCAAGACAAATTAGGAATGCAGCTACCACTTTGCAAGTGTTGGAATAGGAGGGGGAATGGAAAGCTAGAATTTTACAGTGGGCTATGTGGAAAATGTAATAGTGATTCTAAAAGAGGTTGGAAATTGTGAATACAGACATAACAAATTGATTGAAGTGCATTCTTGTTTTTCAATGCTTTTGTTTAAAATTCATGTTAAAGGCTCTGTACCAAATTTTTCTCATGCATTTGAGATATATTGTATACGCAGCGCTTGAGGTCAAAATATGTCAGTTGTCCTCCATCTGCATCTAATTGTAAAGCATTTTATTGTCCGATAATCAGGAAGTGCCCGCTGCATTCTAGTTGTTGTTAGCTTTACCGTTAGGGTAAAACTCTCAACTCAGTTGCATTGAATAGTTAGGATGCATGGAATAAAAAAGGTAATTGAGCAATAACTTTGAATCAGTGCCAGCTATTTAAAATGAGCTAGTTCTTTTTTTCACATTTTCAAAAAATTAAAAGTGAGGTAGAGCACCTTTAATTCATAAGATAATGCAATATGTAAATGGTTTACACTTCAGTGTACACTACACTCCAATCCCTGGAGCTGTTTGACGAGATGAAGCTGAAACTTTATTACATACTTGTTATTTAAAAGTATTCACACTTCTTTGCTTTACCCCTGAGCCTGGTCCCCCAGGCGCCTAAATCACTGCTTTGTTAGAGATTAGACAAGCAGCAGCTCTTGTGTTTATTCCAGTGAAACCCTGGAGAGTGGTTGTGTGTTTCCACAAACATTAGTGTAGCAGTCAGGAGATGGGTCTGACAGCTCACCCAGGGAGGGAGGCACCATTCCCTTGTCACACTCACGTCTCGCCGCCCTAATCACTCTGACACATGCTACGCTAGTAAACCCACTTTATAAAGAAATCAACAGCTACTGTTGAAGTTTGTGTGTCCCTAAGCACTGGTTGTAAACAGGTGCATCCACTACTTTAGGCTTCACTAGATTGTCAGGATCAAATCCCCATGCAAAAGTATTTACAGTGAAATGTGTGGGTTGGCCAGCTGTTGGTGTTGGAGTTTTGAACATTCAAGAAGAGACATGCTGGAATCAATTCACTACTTAAAAAACAGGGCTGGGCAATATGACAGTATTTTTCTTCTAAAACAAAATTAAAATGGTGTTCAGAGTTGATTTTATTAACATAAACAAAACATAGCCTATTTTTAATTACTGCCATTTAAAGGCTCTGTAGGCTGCACTGCACTGCAGCACCCACTCGTCCTGATGAGGTGCCCCAGCGGCATTGAAGGACGTCATATACAGAGGGCAGATTTCCCTACAGGGACAATAAAGAGTGCCATAAACTTTTACTATCTTTAAAACTTATTTTAGGCATTCCTATCATCATAATTATTTCCTACGTTAAGCTTATAAATGCTTTTCACCACTTTCAGGTGCCAGATCAGAGTTTAGCTATTACGAAAATGCTGCTAATTCATTATATCTGTTCTGGGATAAAACAAATTTTGTTCAACTAAGCAGAAAAATCTTGGGTATAGACAATTTAACTCAAAAATATCTTCGTCTGAACTCAAACCACATGCTTTTATTGGCCAAAGATTGGCTGTGGACCTCATGATTAAAATATAAAGACCCAGCTGATCATAGTCATTACTGAACCTCAGTCTTGATTAAAAGTTTATTAATTCCCCAGCTCAACTAAAAAGCTAGTAAATGCATTTCAACACCTGGTCCCCAGCTGCCCCCACACAGCTCCACTCATCCAGGACAAGCCCCCGCAGTCTTCTCTCTGTCAATGAAGCCAAGGAGAGCCCTTGTTGGATGCACCAGTGAAAGGAAATGGCTAATGTATGGGCCCAAGCTCAGGGGAATCTGTTACTCTGAGAAAAAAATGCACACAGCTTAAACAAGTGAGTGTTTGTGCGCGGGGCGGGCCACTGCTGTCTGAAGGAGTGAGAGGAGCAGATAGTACAGACACCTCGCTCTCAGCAGTGAGATAGTGTAGGGGAAAAATTCACACAAAGTACATTATTGTTATTACACTGAATGATTGAAATTGAAAATAATGACCAATGTAACACATCTTTTCAGTTTTGACACATTTTAATATTTTTTTTAGATAACAAAATACCCTGACCTTTGCACAGTAACCTGGCTGAAAAAAAAAATTCCAAAACAAGTCACAAAGCCACTACTATAAAGTTGTAGATGTTGGTCAGTTTTAGGCACTTGGAACCACATACAGTCTTTGCTTTTATGCTGCACAAGAAAGTATTTCTTTGGTCCTTTTCTCTCCCGGTCACGTCAGCTGAAACCACAGTCGGAACAAAAAACAGCTTTCTGGGTTCTTACCAACTATTTACATTTCATCTAGACCTGCCCCCAGCTTCAACTGCACAGAAACAGAACCAGCAAAGCTCCTTAGTCATACAACATCTCTTTATATGTTACCATAGGTGTTCTTGTTAGAAAATATAAAATGTACCCAATGGCTCGAGTATTTCTTTTTCTTTTTACAGCAGTAATAAACAATATAACTTAGTGGAATGGTTTTGATAAAACATTTGGCAAAAGAGATTTTTTTTTTCTTTTTTTGTTCACAGGCTTCAGATCAAAGCCCACTTTGCTACAAAAATACCAAGGGCACTTCAGTACAATGCTCAGCCTGAATCAAATAATACAAAAATCCTTTAAAGTCCTTTAACGTTCTAGCTCAGCTGCAAGGCAGCCATGTCTGATAAGAGTTACTGCATGCACCCATGGGCGAATGGACCTGGGCCACATAATAGTTGCTGAAATTGACGTCTCTAACGTAAGGAGCGGGCTGGTAGTAGCAGGTGATGTTAGCCACAGCTGGGATGGCATGCTGTTCCGCCATAACGCGCAGGGCCAGAGCAGAGATAAGTGACAGAGTCTGTCTGCGCTCATGGCCCATCAGACACACAGTGCTCTCGTCCACCACCTGTCTAAGTGTCAGTAAGTACTGGTAACGCTTGTGCTCCATGCCTGCAAAGTGGTTCTGCAGATAGCCCTCCAATTTCCTCTGCTGCTCACTGATGTCAGGAAAGTCAATGAAGAATCGAGAGCACATATAGCGCTGCATTTGTTTCATCTGAGCCTCAGACGAGGGCTGGAAGCCCCGCACTAACAGGTGGCAGTACTTAAGCAGCCCGCCACCCCTGATCTCCTCTGGGCTGTGTGTGGCTATCGTCCTGGTGCGCAGGTGGCTCAGGGCCTCCTCAAAGTCTCCGTACATGCTCTCCCCATGCACCGTGGGGTGGAAAGTCTCAGACATGACACTGTCCGAGCAGCGGTCGAACAGCAGCAGAGAGTCCAGAGTGATCTGGAAGGAATCCACACTGAACTCAAACTGCCTTCGAAGAGTGTCCACAAACTTGAGCTCCACGTTCTTGCCCGTGTTATTAGACAGAGAGATGAGACTCCAGCGGTCAGTGTCATTGCACACTTTGACCAGTTTCTGGACATAGGCCTCCTTCAGGGCGAGGGGGGAAATGCGCTCCTTGCATACTCCATCAGGCAGGAAGTCCACCAGGCAGTCCAGCACTACGTCCTTAACCAGGCGAAAGGTCTTGTCATCGCTGAGGTTCAGGCCAAAGATCAGGTCCAGGTCCTTGTATCCAAGCCCATTGTCCTCATGGAGAACGTGACTAGCTGCAGAACCGTTCAGCTTCACATCACGCACCACCACGCCCTGCTCCTCCAGCCGAGCCCTGACCACCTGAAAGAGAGAGGAGAGACATGAGTGTTGTATCTAGCAAAAGATTTAATCTGAGGAGCCAAACATGCCTGAATACAAGTCTGTGCAAGCCACTGCCGAGCTACTACCCCTTAAAGTGCTTACAAATGAAAAACAGTCTGTCACACTCCCTCTGCAATTTTTAGTGTGTGGAACAAATTAGGTTACAAAAGCAAAGTATTATAGCACGCCCTAACACACACACAACCTCAATCAGACCTATCTCATCTTTAATTCACCGAGAAATGGAAAACATCTGAATCTCTTTATCCACTTCTACAAGAAAATATGTCTCATTGCAAACAAATCCAATATAACAGATCTATTACTTGGACAAAGCCTTTGGAGGACATGACCAAGATGGAAGATACAATCAAGATTTCCACTAATGCTTGGCTATACACAGATAAAATCATCATAAAATAATCTAAAACCTATGCAATATAAAGTATGGATAGGCCTGTCATGATAATTATTGCTATACTGACATCTCTTGTTCAATACCTGACAGATGGAACAACATTATTCTTGGGTGAATATTTATCGTGGGGACTTTTCCTTTGTACTAGTGGAGAACTGTTATATAATCAGATTTAAACCATAAAATGAATAACTTCTATGACTCTTTATAGATACAATATAACTATTAAAGTGTTGCATTTTGCTATTTATTTATTGTGGTGTTTTGTTTTGTTTTGTTTTGTTTTTTCAATAGTGTAGACATAGAAAAGTTTAGGGGAATAATTGTGTCAGTGGTTAGTTAGTTAGTTTCAGTATTATCGTTTGTTGTCTGTATTTTCTTTAGCAATAGGCTATATCATATTTCAAAATTTGTTATCGTGACAAGCCTAAGTATGGATATCTGTCAATTTTATAGACTGTCAGAATAGCCCTTTGATATATTATGTGTGAGCTGTGGTACTGGCATGTCTGAACCTGCGTGGTGTAATCATCTCAAAAGAAATGCTGCTGTGAACTTTGTAACCCGAGGCATAACGCCAAATTCGATCCCTGTGCCGTCGTATAAACTCCACTTGCGACTCAAAGATTTATCTCCTTGTTGGAACACACACCATGCTGCTGAGATGTTCCTGCTTCCTGTCTGCTGCACTACTCAAAACACAACACAAACCCAAAAGGAACAGCCAAACGAGGCGTTCAGGAGAAATCAGAAACACAGCTGTCCGTAAGACAACCCTTGCTACACCATCAGGGACTGGCAGTTCTCGTACCAGCCATCAATCTGTTCAGACATACACACATCCAGGCATGCTAATCCTATTTCAGACACTCCGATAGTATATCACAATACTAAGAGTAATCCTAAACCCATAAATCCCTTTTTAATGGAGCAGTGCTACTTAAAGCTGCAAAGGGTGTGCTAATTTGTGATGGAGAGTGAAAACAGTACCAAATACAATATGTGTATTGCCAGTCAAGGCTATGTTGCAGTTATACTTCTCAAAGCAAACCGTTCCAGTAATAAAACATACTTTTATGAATGTTTCTATAAGCAGTGTATAGACGGCAGTTGTATAAAGCTATACACAGTATAGTATATTGAGTATGGTAATAAGAGTGACATTGAAACAAACATTACCAAGGATTGAGATAATAATGAAAATATTATGATAGCGTTTAATGAAAAAAATGCAAGAGTGGCCTGTAAAAAGACGTGTGAATGTCTGTAGCATGCTAGAATAGTTTACTTACAAGTTTGGCTTTTTGACCATTTAATAATTTACTAAGCAAAATATATAGTTGAATAAACTCTTTCAGGGACTAAATGGTAAAATAGAATGTTAAGAAATGTAATTTTAAAAAGAGCACATAACCAGTGCATAGTTGGACAGTGCACATAAAGCACATTCTACACAATTGAGCCAAGAGAATATTTGCTGACATTACAACTTATAACAACTTTTCCTGGAGTACTGATTGGTTCATAGTACACTCCATCTTTACTCCTCATAAAAGCAGTCCAGTGCTCTTCCCTCATGACGCAGCAGCACCTGGAGAGGGGAGACACTTCCGCTGACGTTCGGGCACAAAGCCCGTAAAACAAAAAAGCCACAAACACTATGAGACTGTCTGGTGTTGACAACGCCTTGGCGACACATAACAGCCCTAGTCTTCCTCTCATGCAGACTCAATAGTTTCCTTGGGTTATTTCATTTAGGCTGCGGGATGAATGCGTGTTTATTATGGCAGTTTAAAATGACCCAGCCATTTACAGCCCATGGTTCCCTGGACGCCCATGACGAGTCCGGGCAGTGAGTCAGAAATTCTCTCTTGCCAAGGAAATGGTGACAGTGAATGAGGAGTTATGAGTCCCTGACCTGAGAAACCGCTCCAAAACTAACCCAGCCAGAAATACAGTAGCCTGGCAGATGGCTGTGAATGATTATGTTGGGTTTTTTTTTCTTTATCTTGATTTTAAATGCTTCCCTAAACCTCCTATGCACGGGTGGTCATTTCACCTGTTTTTTTTGTTTTGTTTTGTTTTTTTTCGCCCCGCACGTAGTAATTTGATGATGGAGTGGGACCCAGATTGATGCTTTGAGAGAATGGAGTCAGCTTCTGTAAGAGTTCACAGATGTGCTATTGCTATAAAAGTTGAAAGGCTTAATCCAAGAGAGGCTTTTGAATAGATAGTTTTGTAATTTTGTTTTTGAATAAAAATGCTAATTGCAAAGTTCATATTGGGTTATCAAAACATATTGGAGCTAAAAAATCATGAAGGCATTTATTAATCTATCATCAGTGTCTATGGTTTGAAATTGACTGAAGGCTATCCAGATGTTTTGGGGCATGAATTGGATCACAATATAGGACAAATTCTATAAGAAATCTTTGGATTCTGTGTGGGCTTATTTCAGGACACAAAACAAAAAAAATGACTCTCATCTCTGTATTTCAAGAAGACCATATCTTTTTTTTGAATGGTTTCAAAAATTTGCTTCATACGTCTGCAGTTTGGAATTTAAAAGCAAAATTGTAGGTTCTTGTAAGTCAAAATTTGTCTTTTTCCATAGCATCCCAGAATGTAAATGCTTCACCCTACATTTCAAATTCAATCAAGATTTAGAAACCTCTCATGTGGATGTCTCCAACATCCCTCTTGAACGTTTTTCCAGCTAGTCTGTGCAACAATAACATAGTCTGTACCACTGACAAGCCACAAGACTTTGAGACAAGATCTTCCACTGTGACATCTCAAACCAAGTATTAAAAATTAGTCAAAACCAAATGTTCCTGTCCTCCAAACCAGGACTGGGAGCATGTGGCGCCCTCTTGTAGCTCCATCTCAACAATAGCCCTGTGAGGAGTCGGTTTACAGTCAAGACCAGTGTTATTACAGGCACTAATCCATCCTTCACTTACTGTTCCAATGCCACTCGCTCTCTGTTGCCATCTAGCACATTTGCCATTTAGCATTTACCACAAAAAAGCCTGCATATTTTGAAGCATGCTACTGGTTAGATCACAAATATGAATCGCAGACACAACAATTTACTTGGTAAGTGGCGCTGCGAAGATGGAACACAAGATGGCCAACAAAAACAGACTGACTTCCAATCTTCCACTTCCACAGACAACCCCATCCGACATACTGCGTAAAAAACGGCCTATCCGTAGTTCATGCTCAAGTCGTTTGGTACTTTCTGATAGCTAACTGCAGAGCTAGTCAATATGAACATATTATTGATATTGAACAATCTTGATTTTTGTCAAATAAAAATTACTTTCAATATAATTTTTCTGAACATAAATAATACTTCATAATTGCAATTTAGCATAAATTCTCTAATTTCTTTGTCCACAATGTGAACTCTTCTCCAAACCACATGCTTTTATGGACAGATGATTGGCTGTAGACCATTTCATTATAAGACCTAAGATGATTACGGTTAGAAATGACCGAAACTCAAATGTTGATAAAAACAAAAAAATAAATGCACAGCTATAGTAGATGAATGGTGAAATGTTCATAGTTATATCCTGGCTGTGGGTTGAGAAGTGTTGATGTAAAATCAATGGGGGTTATAGGAGTTTTCCTCTGCGCTCCCCTGCCTCACATACACACACAGACTACAAACAGATGTTATTCAAATGTGGCCCTCAAACAAACCCACCATTGACAGGGCCTCTATGGGAGTGGGATCTTTTGGGCAGGCTAACCTAGCACGTGATGACAGCCCTTCGTTAAGTCACCTCTGGCTGCTCCTAAAGCGCTCAACGCAAATGATGTTATATGTTTAAGCATGGTTTGAAGCCATTTAGAAATCACCAAATGCCTCTCATTAATGTCACTCATTTTCCATGACTTACTGTATTGGTGCAGATTACTGTTTTCCTCCTTTCCAGGCAGACATGAGATTCTATTCATGTTCATATGAAAATGTGATCATGTGAAAATGTCAACGTGTCAAGAATTTATTGGCAAATGCTATAACAGCAAATATGGCGTTAGCTTTTTTTGTTGTCACATTATGTTATCGCTCTATGGGCAGACAATTAACACTTAAATGTTACTAACATCAGTCAGACTGGAGGTTCTTTTTTACACAATAAACTTTTAAATGTTTTGTCTTTGATGCAGATTGTTTTAGATTACTACTTTGTGAGTAATTTAACTCACCCACCACCCACCCAAAAATGTGCTAACACGTATGCTAACAGTTACAGTTCTATCAAACATTTCATTTCAAATTTTAATCACTTTTTTCAGGGTCCATGGCAATGATTACAATTGTCTGTGTTAGTCTTTCATATAAACCATCCAAAAGTCAACAGCAGTTATCTGGCAAACATCCTGCACTGAGGCATGAAAAAATGCAGAGCCATGACAGTACCCTGCGGTGCCTCTCCATCTGATACAAGGCAAAGTATAGGAAAATTTCCAGAAGCCTCTCTTTGAAATATCTCTTAAAGGCAGCTATATGCTTCATGGAAAGTTTTTTAAAAGTTGGGGTCTTGGGACAATCTTATGAGGGAAAGACATTAGTGGGGATGTTCAGAGCAGATGGTAGGAAGGGGCCTCCTTGATTATAGGGGCTCTTCGACTGTTATGTGAGTGTGTGAGGGTCTTTCTTCCCCAAAGGAGTACCAAAGAAAATATCATTCACTCAGGGGAAACGTAAAGCTGCATAACACGTGAAGACATTTTAGGAAAACCCAGGCAAGTCTTTCTTTCCACGATGGGTTTTATCCCTAGTAAATATTCTCAAGATTTGTCATTATCTCCGTCTTTAATGTTTTCATGAGAGCTGTGAAAAAAATGACTGGAGAAGCAGTGAATCGTGAGCTAGTGGAAAAGAAAAGTCATGGCATTAGATCATTCCACTCATATGTCTGTGTTAAGACTATGACTGATGATCAAATCTATTTAAAGGTGCACTATGTAACTTCTTCATTGCGGGGGTCTGCCACTTGACTGTCTCCATGGAGATACTTTTCCTGGAATGTTTCACTATATGGCATTAAACTTGTTTATCTTGCTTTGATCCAAAAACAGGTATTTTATTACAAAAAATATCTTGAAAATGAGGCCTCTCTCCACACATCTGATCTGTAACTTGGCCTGGTGCTGTCTCCATGGAGATACAGAAGTTCCATACTGTGGATCAATCCAGGCAAAGCATTAAACATTAGCATTAACATCTCTATGGTGACAAGCAGATGACAGACCATCCATAAAAAAGTTACATAGTGCACCTTTAAGCATAATCAGCTTTGCCACAGTCCTTAAAAAAAGTCCTTGTTGATGTCAAAAAAAGAAAAGGTGACCTCTCATTTTCTCATTTCTTTGATACTCATTGTATCAAGTACTTTCCAAACCAAATAAAAAACACAAATAGGAAAACATTTAAAGGATGAACTACAGTTGACATTTATGTTTGTGTGAGTTAAGTTTAGCAGCATGCTGTAATCTCAAAGGTATCTTGGAGCACATGGCTACTTCACAACTTGTCAGGTCAGTAGTATATCACTGTGGGACTGTTAGCATGTGTTTATGTTCGAGGGGAGGGAGGGGGTCTTCTGCACTGAGGAACATATTCCGCTTAGGTCTCTGACTCTAGACTACAGGTTCTGACTAGACAGCACTTTGAGTATGTAAAAAATATATTACACTACTGGAGTCATGCTGGGCCAGGGTGCAAAAGTCAAAGAGCACAAAGCACAATAGTAACAATAGTTTGTGACATATGAATGTTTGGAATATTTCAAAGCTGTCCATACAATAAAGTAAAACCAAGTAATATGTTGGTTATGGTTTCTTGCCTACTTCATTTGAATAGGTTACTTTCCACAATGTTGCCTATGATATTTTTTTCTAGCTATTTGAAGATTGTGTAATCGTGTAGACTGTGTAAACTTAAGTATTCAATAAAAGATATAAAGAAGAGTTATTACATAAGGCAACATATAAAAGTGGGCTTACATTGAAAAGCAATAGCCTAACAAGTCCATATCATCCCATGCCCCATGCACATACAGGAAAAAATTACTGACAAAGAATCTTGCCCAAATGTGATCATCTCAGTTTAAGAAGTAAAATTTTTTTTTTTAACATTTGTTATATCTAGTGTTCTCATATCCTATTTCTAAAACAGGTTAAATTCATATTTTTTTTAAAAAAAGAAAAAGATGCACACCTGCACAATTTGTCTGGGCTGCACGGACAGTGTGGGGAAGTTCCCTCGGCCGTGAATGGGCACGCTCTCCCCGAGGATGGAGTCCAAACGCCGCACCTGCTCCCAGGACAGTTCGCTGAACCGCCGACTCTGCACCGAGGCGTCACCGCGGGACATAGCGACCGGACCGGGCATGGGTGTCCAGACTGGGCGGTCACAAGCGCTGCTACTGAAACTCCACGGAAAAGCCGGTGAGGAGAGTGACTTGAGATCGAGTTAACGGTGCCAAGATTGTTTAACAGAGCTCCGAAATAAAGTTAGATAAAGTACATTTCCCAAGTGAAATATCTCCCAGTGCAGAAGTGCGTGGAGCGTCTGAGCTCGCTGACTGTGTCTCTTTAGATTATAGCCGGCTCAGAGTTCGCTCCTCTCTTTTTACTGTGCGTGGGTTAGTGCGTGCCTTCCCATTGGCTGGAAGGAGGGAGCTTTATGAAAACACATGCTGGAGACTCCGATCAAGCCCCACGCACACGGTCATGAGCGCTGCAATGCACGGCTGCTTCACAGTTTGTAGGAAAAATGTTAATTGCAAGTTTTACGGTAATTTGAGGATATAGGACGTCAGGGCAATCCACGCTCAGGCTACTGCTTAAATGTATGGAGGAGTAGTCCTATATGCTGTACACTGTGTGGAGCTTGTAACCAGGCCTGGGCTATCTATTGTATTATCATATTTTATTTTTATATTGGCCTTGGTCTGTCTATATCTCCTAAGCTCAAAATGCTCTGTTCCACCTTGTGATGTCATGTGGTGGTAGTTTTCAATTTAAAAGCTACCTTTTATGTTTAGTTCCATAGAGACTGGCAATTCAGCTACCTACCTGCTACATGTATGACCACATGACACCACAAGGAGTGTTTGACAGAAGAAGTCATCTTAAATATGGAGGGTCTGTGTGTGTGCGTGTGTGTGTGTGTGCGTGCGTGTGTGTGTGTGTGTGTGTGTGTGTGTGTGTGTGTGTGTGTGTGTGTGTGTGTGTGTGTGTGTGTGTGTGTGTGTGTGTGTGTGTGTGTGAATGAAAATGAAGCAACTCCAGGTATACTTTTGATGTGGTAACACATCCAAAATTGATAAGTTTAAAGCAATAATATCTATGTAGAGACAAGCAAGTAGCTGTCCCTTCACTAGAAAAGTTACGTAATGCATATTTAAGTCATTAGGGAGAGGCTTTTGGTTAACTACTTGTACATAGCATTTTCAAGACGCACTACCTGTCTTTATGGAGATGTCATTGCATTATCTGAAATGTTCAACAGTATGGCAACAACAGTATTGTTGTAAATGGGCTTCCTTCTCCACAGATCTATACACAGATAGATTGAATGCCAAACATTGGAGGTAAAACAATAGCATCTACATATCTATATCTATATCTATCTCTCTCTCTCTCTCTCTCTCTCTCTCTCTCTCTCTCTCTCTCTCTCTCTCTCTCTCTCTCTCTCTCTCTCTCTCTCTCTCTATCTATATATCTATATATATATATATATATATATATACATATATACATACATACACACACACACACACACACACACACATGTCTTAACAAAATATATTTTATATTTTGAGCTGATCTTAATGGACGCAATGTCACTCCTGATTTATGTAAGTAATGTCTGTCTTGTAAAATGTCTATAAATACTTTTAAGGTATTCTCGCAGTAATTTGTCTACTGGTGTTTTTTATGCATTCCAAAAGATCTTGCTCTTTTTCTGTGGTCTAAAAAGCCATACTCCTGTAGTTACTATTGCACAATTAATATTAATTTTATCACAGTATATCTGACATCTAAAAACTGTGTATGACTTGACAAATGTGCTCTCAAAGGGAAACATTTTAAACTAAACACTATGTTCTGAGTCTTTATTATGAAGCAAAACAAAAACTGTATGACATGTTACCGACAACCTGAATCTGAACTAAAGCTCATTATCCCTTCATCTTTAAGTGAATTATATTCTGTTTTTTGCCTATAAACAAAAACTTCTGTAGGCTGTTGTATGTGCATAGCTAAGCAGCTAACTGCGTCACTCTTATGTAATTCCATACGTTGGTCACTTCTTTCCATTCCACTCTCAAACCAAGAATGGAATGTGCATGACTCCAGTGCACACGGCCTGCCCCAAAGTAGAATAGCACTGACAGGTGACATGTCCATCAAGTCTTTTGTTTAACATGACTAATGTATTTTTGGCAGATGTTCTTTGTTCAGGTCTATCCAGGCAGAAATTCATTTGTACAAGCTGGACTTGACATTGGTTCTCAAACAGTAGTGTGAGTACAAGTGGTGATATCATTTACTTTTAGGCCTGTGCACCTTGAGATGCTGAAGGGCCTATTAGTCTCTTCTCAAAGTGAGCATGAAACCACCATGAAGCACTCATCCTCCCTCAGACACTAATCACATGTGCACAAATCACATGTGTAGTATACAAATCGAATATTTTTATGGTGTCATGGTGTCATGTTATGGTGTTATGGTGTCATTGTTATGGTGTAATATTATTATGGTGTTTATAAATTGAAGATAATGGAATTGGAAGAACATTTAAATAATATATAATGCGCATAATAAACAAAGCTATTTTCAAAGGATAGACCCCAAAATTTTGAAAAACTAAATCAGATTTGAGGGAGTGGTGCAAGAAACACAATTGTTCAAAACATTTTTTTTAATGAAAGCTTTTGTTTTATTATGAACTTATAGCACAGAATGCTGTCTCAACTTAACCACAACCAAAGCAGGACTAAAACTGGACCACTCCAGAACAGGATCTAGCCAAAAAAAAAAAACTAAAATTTGGCTAGACCAAAACTAAATATAAAACATACCACAGCTAAATTCAGGGTTAGACAATGACTCAGCTTAGAATGAAATCACTACTATAACTGCTTTGAAACTTCAAATATATTGACCCAGACAGTCACTAAAAAAAAGTAAACCTAAACTAACCATCACTGTATCATGGTTTAAAAGCAAGACCAAACATGGCTACAAAAGTCCGCACCCAAACTTTGAAAAAAAATAATTTAGAAATCATATCTATGGCAAAGATTAAAACTAGCCAACACAACTTCCCACTGTTACCTTCATTTTAGACAAGGTTACTTAACACAAGGTCTTTTGACTCAACAAAAAATATATGTTTTTACATATTTAAATATTAGGCTACAACAACTTGATTGATTAACTGTGCAGTAGAACCTGATTGGCCATCTTCAATAACTTCTTTCTGGTGTTGACATAGACAAATTGCTATTGTGACTTTCAACAAATGTTCCCATAGTTCTGTGACACTAAGGCATTTCCTGTGTCATATGCATATTGCACAAAAAAAACAAAAACTATGCTAACACTTTGGCTGCAACAATGGCCTCCTGACAATTTAAATGTTACCTGTGTGAACGTGTGGACAATGCAGTGATGATTTGGACTAGCCTTCATCAGTCACTTGTGTTACATAAGTGCTCCTACTGTACCAGTGATCCATGTCCGTGTGTCAGTCAGCCGACCCTCTGCTATTTACACTCCCCACCCTTTTTACGTAATCTGCCTGTTTACCATAGTATGTCACCATAGCAACAGCTACAGATATCGTCGTCCGGGTAAATATAACATTGGCTCAAGCCGCACTTCCAGGAAAACTACAGTGTGAGTGCAATAAATCTGTGACCTGTTGCCTCAGTAGTGGGGCTTATGCTTTGCTATGTCACAATAGAGGGATAACGATATATAGAGTGCACTGCTTAGACTGTAGATTGGAATCATTTGAAGGAAGGGACTAGTAAATATACAGGAATATTATACTCAACATTACAGTAGACCATTTAGGAATTTTTGTAATTGTCAAAAAAAAAGTAAGACATTGTGTGTTTTGTTTTACTTATTGCCTCTGCAAAGAGTTAAAGAGGCTTAACCACTCTGTAACTATTGCTTTGCCTCAGTGTTAGTGTTAAACTTACACTACCTGTCAAAAATTTAGCCACACCTTCTTTTTCAGTGTATTTAAAGTTAGTGAGTTTACCACTTTCTACATTTTATTTACATAGAGAAAACATCAAACATATGGTACAAGATATATGGAATTGTGTAAGCAAAAAAAGTGAAATAGCTGAACAAAATAGTATTATACTGTATACAGTGTTGGGAAGGTAACTTTTAAAATGTATTCCCCTACAGATTACAGATTACATACCCCAAACGTATGTTTGTAACGTACTCCATTAAAATACTTAAAGTGAGTAATGTAATTTGAATACTTTAGATTAAGTGATTTGCTGTAGAGAAGCAAAGACTAGGATATCATAACATAAGATGTTTTGTTTGCTAAAAGAAAATGAAAAGCCCAGACTTTACTTAACCAAATAAAAAAATATTATTGATAGAAGAGGAGACATGTCCATGCAGCATGGTTTAGTCCTGTTAAATCCTGGTTTAGTCCTGGTTTAGTCCTGGTTTAGTCCTGGTTTAGTCCTGGTTTAGACCTGGTTGTAGATCTTATTTAGATCTAGTTTAGACCTCGTTTTAGTCCTGGTTTAGATCTAGTTCAGACCTGGTTTAGTTTCCGGCAATGAGTGGAATTACCAAAAAAAAAAAAAAAAATCCATTTATTTCAACAAAGTAACTGTGATCCAATTACCACTCACTGAAACAGTAACTGTAACTGAATACAGTTACTCATAATTTGTACTCTGATTACGTAACTCTGGTACATGTAATCCATTACTCCCCAACACTGACTGTATATTATAATACAATGAGCTTCTTGAATTCACATGAAATGGCTTTCTCTTCACAGCTATGCCATGCCAGAGTCAAGAAATGCATAGTTTTGCTTTAGGCAGAATGTACAAATAAACATGGAAATAAAGAAGAAAACTAAATGAAAAGGTGTGTCCATGTTGTGTATATGTTTCATGTATTCAGTTATAAGTGTCTATCTTCAGTAGTATCTTAAATAATATATATTTTTTTATTATTATGGGTTAGTTGGGGAAAATATATAAATAATAAACAATGAAGATTTCTTTTTATCAACTGACAGCAGTGAGGGTAATGAAACTATTTAATATGTCCCCCTTTGGATTGTGTTGAAGTTAGGACACCATTTACATGCCTCCTGGGTTCATCCTATATGTTTGAACATAGGAATGTGCCCTACAGTTAAGTCCCATTATAAGTTATTAACACATGACTTCATATAGGAATTTGTCTGCCAAGAGGGATCCCCTGTTTTAATATTCCGAGAAGTTATAGTTTGTATTTTGGGAGAATAAACACGTCTATCGCTTCCAATTCCAATTCATTAGTGGCAAACTGCACA